GAAACATAAGGAGAAAGAGGACAGAAAACACAAAACCAATCCAAAAAGTACAAGTATAATGCCATTTTATTTTTATTTTTACAATATTTTTATTTTTTAATATTTTTTCTTTTATGTGTATGAGTGTATTGCCTACATGCATCTAAGTACACTCATGTCATGCAATGCCCATGGAGGTCAGAAGAGAGCATCAGATCCCCTGGAACTGGAGTTATAGATGGTTGTTAGCTGCCATATGGGTGCTGGGAACCAAGCCTGGGTCCTGGGTCCTCTATAAGAGCAGCCAGTGCTCTTAACTGCTGAGCCATCTCTACAGCCCCAAATTTAATGAAATTCTAACAACCTTCTAATACATCTAAAATAGGAACACTATCTTTCCTTGACATGAAGGAGAAGAAAATAAATAATCATAGTATAGGCTTAATTATTTTTTTCTCTCATACTATGCTCAAGATAATGAAAATTCAGATAAGGACTTTTTAAGTCCACTAAATATTTTAAAAGACATACTTAAAATATCTTAAAGTAATTTAGTTAATATGAATTAGAAAAGAGGTTTAATTACTTACATTCCATATGCTGAGCTTATAGCAAGACTGGTAATCTGTTGAGGAGGCTCACCATCTACCCATACTAACTGAATAACAAGATCTGCTTGATATCCTGGAGGCATTCGAACTGGTCGTGTTTTAACACTAGAAGAGAGAAAAAAATTCTATCATGTACAGTTTAGGCATGCTCATGCATCTGAGAATTTACATATAATCATGCTTTTAAAATATATATGAGGCAGTGGGGGAAAGTATGCAGGTGGACAGTGTTTGTCACTCTCTTAAAATATACCAAGCTAGCCAGGTGTGGTGGCGCACGCCTTTAATCCCAGCACTTAGGAGGCAGAGGCAGGCCGATCTCTGTGAGTTCAAGGCCAGCCTGGTCTACATAGTGAGTTCCAGGACAGCTGGGGCTACAGGAAGACCCTGTCTCAAAAAGACCAATATATATATATACCAAGCTACTAATAATTGCTCAGTTTCACAACTTTAAATGGTTAAACATTTTATTTTTGTATTTTCAGGATAGTACTTTTAATTTTATGATAGGTTATATACAAATATAATTATAAAGCATAACAATAAAAAGAGTGATCATTAAACTACCACTCACCTAAGGGGCTCAACATATCCAACATCAGAATTCTCTTCCTCTCAACCTACTCTACCTGTAGTTTTTTCTGTTCTAACTGACAGATCTTCTTTACTTCTAGTCACTCAAAAAAACTTCAGTCATCCTTCATTAATACCCTTTTATATTTCATATCAGTTAGTCATCAAACACTATAACTTTACCTTGAAAATATATCTAGAATCTAAGTAATCTTTACTTCTCACCTGATAACAACTTAGTTACAGCTGCCAAATAAAAATAAAGGCTGCTCACTTAAAAATCAAGTAAACAATAAGTAGCTTTTTAAAAGTATGTCCATTGCAATATTAGTGATTATGTAACAAAAATTATTTATCTTCAATTTGAAATTAAATGGGTATCTGATGCTTTATTTGCAAAAATATGTCAGCCCTTTAATCTCAAATTAGTTTATTTCAATAGCCTCAGAACCCTATAATGATTCTCCACTTCCCATTTGGAATAAATGACAAGGCTTATAATGGCCTACAATTGGGTTTCTGTAATCTATATGATTTCATCCCCTCCTACCAGGATCCTCCCCTTAGCTCTAGTTGTATTGGCCTAATTACTTTTCTTAAATATGCCAAGCACTTCAAGGCCTTTGCTCTAGTTATTCTTTTTGTCTAGAATATTCTTCCCATCAGATATTCTTTAGTCAACTCTCTTACTTTCTTGAGATTTTTCTTTAAATCTCATCCTCTTAATGAGACCTATGATGAACATTCATTAGGCATACAAAAAAATCATAAATGGAAAAAAAATCAAATGACTGCACTGCACAAACATGTATATATTAATAAGAATTGTCATATTTCTAAAACAGAATTAGCTAGTTGAAACGCTTATTTAAAAGCTAAATGTTTATAGAAGAATCTAACTTCAGCAAACAAAGTTACTTAAGGACCAGATGCTCACATAAAATTTAGCAAATCATGAATTATATACAACTGAAGAACCATTCATAATATATTTCATCAAATATTATTACTTATATCACTCTCTTGTGTTTGATTTCCTAGGCACAAACCACATAAGATTATGCTGATTTTTTTCCTTTGGTTCTTAATAATCATGAAGATTGCCTTTAGTATTCTCAAGTCAATCCTATTACACTTCAACAATTGTTAATGCTAACTTCATCTCCACTACCAGATCATTGTTTAGTTTGCTGTTTTTTCTCCATCATTCCTATATTAAATTATTTTATATTTTATAAATAAGATGTAAGAGATTTATAGTTTAATGATAGGTCTTACTGGTTAACAAACAAGCAGATCTACAGTGATTTCTTAAATTTCAATCTTTTTCTGATTTTCATTTTATTTCAATTGAGTGAAGTAAAATGATATGAACGGAAATTAATATATATATATCAATCTGGGCTGGTGAGGTAGCCCAGCAGGTAAAAATGTTTGTGGCCAAGCCCGAAGGCATGATTTGATTCCTGAGAACTGACTCCTGAAGGTTGTTCTCTGACTTACACATGCACACTGTGGGGCATTCATGCATACACAGACAAATAAATGCATATTAAATATACATATAAACTTGCAACATGATAGTTTTTCAATAGATAGTTTTCAATATGATTATTTTCCTGTTTGTAGATTTGTTCCCCCTATTAATTCATGCTTATATTTCCTTTCTAAAAAATCATCAAAAATGTTTAGGGAGGAAATATATGGATTACTGCTAATTGTATAGCTTCTGTTACTGAAATCTTATATCTAAATTTTCCATACATGTTTGCATAAGAAATAAAGAAACAATCTGTCTAAGGTTTTATAAGTAACCAAATCAATTATTTTCATATGGGGCTTAGAAAAAATCCTTTCTTAGGCTTAATTCTCCAATCAGTTAACACTAGAAACATTTGACAATGTAAAATATTAATTTAAAAACTATCGTGAAAAGTGAAAAAGATAAATTTTACTGTGAGCTTTACTAACATTATGTTTTATTTGAGTACAATGTCGAACTTTGTTTAGCTATATTGAATAAACAGCTGTTAACAAACAATAATTGGAATAAAAGAAATACCATGTCATATACATGAGATAGATCTCTTTTTTCTATTGTAGTATTCTTATACTAGATTGTAAGCTAAGTTTTATTTTTGATTTCTAGAGTAGTTAAACATTAGACATACTGTTTCAGTTGGAAAGCACCGACCAACTGTTCAAGTTTTTGCCTTGCTAAACTTTCCTTTTATCAAAGCCCTAGTTTCTTAAGAATCTTTTTATGAAAGAAAAATATGTCAATGAAATATGAAAAACACTGTAACTTTGTAAATGGATATTTAAAGGAAAAAGGGTGCCCTTGTAAATCACCTAACAATTTTTATTTAGTTTTAATTTTATGTGTATGAGTGTTTTGTCTGCATGTGTATACCACATGCATGCAATACCTGTGTAGGCCAAAAGAGGGCATCAAATACCTGGACTTGGAGTTATGGAAGGGTGTCATGTGAATTCTGGAAAACTGAACATGGATCCTCTGCAAGAGCAAGTGCTTTTAACCATTAAGCCATCTCTCCAGCCCCAGTACTTTTATTATTATTTTATTTGTTACAGTGTGCAAGAATTATATGACTAACATGTAAAACTGCTCTGGTATTTGGTAGCAACTCTTACTTGAGGCATGGGATGCTGTCCTTTGTTATTCCTTCACTAGACACAGTATTAGTGCTTCCGGAAAGACTCCTTGAAGAAGGAAGCTGAGATGAGAGATCTGGAAACGGAGGACTTGTTTCTGGCTCAGGGGTAATAATATCTTCAACATCACACTGAAGTCGCACTTCTAATGACTTAAAAAATCAAGTTTTAATTTAATTAATCTACTATGATAATAATAATCACAATATATCGGATACGTTTTTAGTAATTATTCATAACTTTTAGTTCAGTAAATTCAATTTAAACTTATATTAAATTTGAGAAGTATCTCAAGCTGAATTAAGTACTGAATTAAATGGAATATTCAATGACAATTACAAAAACATAACGTTTTAATTTCCCAGAACTATTTTTTAAAAGCCTATAAGTGAAGATAAATTCTTACATAATGAATATTGGCTAAGATAAATTATAAGTTCATTACACGTGAAAAGAAAAGGGAAAATTGACCATAGTTATTCTAACAAAAGAAATTGAATGTGTGTATATATTCATACATCTAAAAACAAGTCATTTAGTTCAAAAGGACTCATTTCATTTTGACTTTGTGCTGATTTGGTAAATTTTTTCCAAAAGATATTACATATTGGCCAGGTGTGGTGTTGCATACCTATAATCAGTTATAATACTCCAGAGACTGAAGCAGGATTGTTAGCTGAGGCCAACCTGGGTTACATAACAAGACTCAGTCTCAAAAACTTAAAATAACAAATGAAAAAACCAAACAACTCAAAAGTTTTGTTGATTGTTTTGTAACCTTAGGTTTAATTCTTATTTAAGTTTATTAACTTGATAAGAATTACTTAAAAATAATAACACTTATTGTGATAATTTATATAAGAATAAAAATGATTCTAAAGTCTTTTTTTTAAACTAAAATTGCTTTAAAATGTTAGCTTATGATGGCATTAAATGCTTTAAAACTGACTTTTAAAAGAAATATTTGCTTTACAACGCAAAGAGAACATTTTTATATTGAAAATAGATTATAACAATAGCCATATGGTATGAACACAGTAATATTAACCAAAATGATTGTAATAATTATCTCTACTAAAAGTCTTCTGGTAGTGACAATATAGCTATCAATTAAGTACTTACTAAGACCTTGTGCTAATGTAATATTTCTATAAAATTATTAGAAACCTGGGAAATTAGTATTATTATTTCTATTTTCTACTTCCTATTTTATTTACACAGGAAATTATATGGATAATGAGATTCAAATGTACCTAGACTCTATTACTGCCTCTTAATTGCTCAGAGTTATAAAGACATTCAATGGCAAAGCCACAGATAAAATCTAGGTATATCTGACTTCAAAGTCTATATTTTCAATATACTATAAGAGTGACATTAATTTTAGGTGAAGCAAAAACACACATAAGCCTATGTGAAATAATTTTCATCTTCTAGTAAAAAAAGGTTAGTATATATAGGAGTGAAGAGGGAAATTATAGGTATTTTAATTTAGATTTAGTAGCATCATTATTTTGTATAATCAGAATTTCGTACAATCAGTTTAAAATTATTATATGGAAACATGGTGCCATAATTATTTTTTCAGTATATAAATGTTGCTACATAGAAAACCATTAAAAGTAACTTCATTATAGTTGAGAAATAGTCACGTATGACAAATTTTAGCAAGAAAATATAAATCAGTTAAAATTTTAAAAAAAGGACAAAGCTTGCACTAATTTGACACTGCTACATAAA